CCCGCCCCCCCCCCACTCCAGCAGTCTAAGGATCCATTAGTCATCACGTCTAATACAGTGTATTAGACATGAGGACGCCAAGGAATATTCCATCGCTGGAGCGGAGGTGAAATAGAGGCTGTCTAGTTAGTATGTCTTTGTTATTTTAGACCCTAGACCAAAACTAGTGCTATATAAATACCCACAATACATTAAACGTGTCAGAGCAGTGGTCGATGAAGGGGAACTAATTTAACTACCAATATTGGTTTAACAAAATAATTTTGTTTCTTTACTGTAAGAATATTATGTATTAACAGGGGCGTAACTACAGATCACGGGGCTCCATGGCAAAAATGTGATGGGGCCCACCCCTGATGACCTTTCTCTGAACTGTGACTGATGACACCAAACATCCCAAAGACTCCCCTTGTGCATTTAAAGTCATCTTTCCTACACTGTAAACCAGTGGTGGGCAAATCCGACCCTCCATCTGTGCTTTAACTGCAAATACCAACATGCCTCTGCCTCTGGGAGTCATGCCTGTAACTGTCAGTCTTGCAATGCCTCATGGGACATGTAGTTCCACAACAGCTGGAGGGCCGAAGTTGCCCACCCATGGTGTTGACTTTACAGAGGATTAGGGATGTCATCAACTGCAACCACCCAAATATTTAATGATACAGTACTGTGTTATGTTTACGTGTTCTATGTTTAGCTTGCCTCAACAACCTAATGAGACCCCCCACTCCCAGGCCCCATGCCAACTTCCTGGGCTGCTATGACTTTAGTTACCCCACTGCTTATTACTGTTAAGCTTTGTGTGTGGAAGTGATGTGTTTTTAGATAAAAAACTGGCTGCTGCATAGACACATGAATAAAGTGTCTTTGACCTTTATGGCAGCATCAGTGAAATTGTACTTCCTTCACACTAATGGGCTCTTTAACACCATCACGTTCACCATCAAGTGCATGTGCATGCATGAATGTGGTGCATTCAAATTTAGGGTGCATTTTACACACATTTCTCCTAATTTTTTTTAATTTACTCCCTGCAAAATCATGGACATATGACTAAGAGCACCCTAATTAAAACAAATATTACCTTTTTAGTGCTTTTTTTTAATGTATTACCCGCCGGAAAGATGCAACAAACAGGAAAAAGTAAGCACGTTGTAATGCAACACACCAGAAGGCTTCATAGCTTAAAGGAGAACTATGGGGTCAGGGCTTTTCCCCATAGTTCTCCTTAGGGTAACGGGAGGACACAAACTAGCGTCCTCCCGTCACCCTAAGCTCAGTATACCGCGAGCTAGATCGATGTCGAGATCCGCCCAGCTGCGTGAGTGACAGCTGGCTCTGCCAATCTAGAGGCAGAGCCAGCTGTACCCGCCCCCTCCCCCGTCCGTTCCGCCAGTCAGCGCTGGTGGATCGGAGCGGGGAGGGGGAAATCCACCCCCCCCCCTGTCACGGCAGAGAGCCGTGACAGGATCGAGAAGTGAGCGAACACCGGCATGTGTTCGCTCACCTCCCGATCTACTGAGCCGATCTGTGACAGTCTCATTGTCACAGGTCGGCTAGAACTATGAGGTGAGTGGAAATCACTCGCCTCATAGTTCTCGTTTAATAAGGAAACTATTTTCTCTGTGGTTGCGCATTAGCACAGTTACAGTTAGTTGTGGTTGCGCATTAGCACAGGGGCCTGCAATATAGTTGGGATCTTAGTGGAGATATATCCTAGGCTCCAACCCAGCCATATGCCTTTAAAAAGCAAGCCTGATGCATTAATAACTCCAAATAAGATAATCATTATGATATTTCACTGTTGGTCTGGCACATACCGACAATGATCTGATGACATAGATGGCAGGGACACTGCTTCTTGAAGACATGGTCCTGGAAGCTGTGTGTACGGACTGGCTGCAGCACTGATAAAGCCTTGTGCTGTTGATGTGGGGACTGATCAGGCTGAAGTGGAGGTTCAGTAGGGATAGGAGGAGGAGAGGGAGGTGGGGGAGGTATTGGTGGTCCGAGAAGAACATCAGAAGATATCTTTGCCTCATTGTTTGGCTTCTGGAAGAAGTTCTCAACGCTCTTGCTCCGGAGGATGGTCTTTAATGAGATGGAACGTCGAAAACGCTGTAGCTGAAGATAAAAAGGAAGAGTCTGTTGATAATTGAGAATACTTATTAGAAGAATATATATAGTGACAGAAAAAAAGAGAAGTGAAATATTCCAATACAGAGAGACAGACAAAATGACCAGCAGAATACATATTCCTTGTATCTGCATATAGCCTTGTGAAGCAATTTGACATTGGTTTTCTGCCTCAAAGGAGTGTCAAGGGGCATTCAGGATAAGCAAACACTCAGATGGGAAGTGACAGACCCTGCAGAATGGTAACAGGGCATAGAGTGGGTATAGGAAAACCAATGCCCAGGGCATAGCATTGACGGAATAAAATCACCCCTGTCAGACAGCAAAGTAAAGAAGTAAAGCAAATAGGGGGAAAGGGGAGCTGAAAATAGAACAATAAAAAAAGTGGACAACAATGGGTGGCGTCCCTCCTGAGGCTATACACAGACATGACAGGGGGAAAAAGAAACAATAGAGGCAGATAGGAGCCCAAAACACAAGATTCAGCTGCTAGTCCAACTAGGGTGCCAACAACCAAATCTAATATAATCAAATGAGAAGGATAAAATCACATGAAAGACACAGATGCAGTTATGATTACCACATGTGCTGACAAGGTGGTTGTGGTTTGACTAGATTCTTTTAATTAATCTTGACTGTAATTAATAATTACTATAGCCCGTACAGCTCCCGAACTTGGCCGAGCGGCTCAGTCGAGCCGAACGCATATGCCTCGGCTTGGCTCGGCTGAGCCGGCGGACAGCATGCTTCTGACAGCTGGGTGGAGCCAGTCGTGATCTTACGGCTGGCTCCGGCCACTTGCAGAGAGATCAGCGTCCCTGGTTACCAGCTAACCAGGGACACTGATCTCCAGACAGCCTAACTCTCCCTGGCGATCCGGGAGTCTCCCGCTTCTGGCCACCAAGGAGAGAAACACTGCTTTTTCTTTTTTTTTTTATTCTGACACGGAGTCGTTTCTCCATCAGGTCCACCACTACTGATTGACAGCAGCAGAGGGCGGGTACAATAGCTAGTTTGCTATAGGCTATTGCAAATTGAAATAGCCAATAGGAATCTAGCAATGCATTGCTATGGCCAAGAATGTATTTATTTTTTTCTATTCTGACACGGCTCCGTGTCAGAATAAAGAAAAAAAAAGAAAAAGCAGTGTTTCTCTCCTTAGCGGCCGCGACCAGGATTTTTTTTTCTTCTTTATTTTGACGGCAGCAGAACCACGACCAATAGAAAACAGTTGGGCGGAGCTAGCTGTCACTGCTAGCTCCGCACAGCACCGAACAGCAGCGAGTAGACTGCCTGAGATTCGGCTTAGCCGATTCAGATGTTGGAGTCGAACTCCTTCTGCACTTCGGGTCGGCTGAGCATGTTCAGCCGACCCGAAGACACG